TCAACTGTGTATAAAATGCTTGGCAAAAGATATGAAGAATTATAATATATTTACTAGATTTAAGAATAACTTTTTTACCCAAATTACTTTGTCATAAATCGAAAATAAATCGAACTTACATACATCATAGAATTAAATATTTATTAAGATATTAGTCTATATTAGTATGTATTCCAAGACAATAAATGTATTATATTTATCTATATTGTATTTTTATCTCATATTCTTAATTTTTTAAGATTTAACAATAACCTAAATCAAGAAAAAAGTTCTAATGTTTTTAATTATTTTTAAATATATTCCTTGTTTTATATATCTTATTTGCACGAGAAAGAATATAATTTTTACAAATCCATTGTCTCAAAATTGTAATAAAAAGTATTTACCGGTACGATGCGCAGCAGCAGAGTTATAGTAAACGTTGATCTGTAAAATAGAAATATATTCAAGTTATAATAAAATAATTAATTATAATTAGTAATAATAAAATAATTATTTTAAAAAATAATTACTGCACGTAAATTTTATTTGTGATTTAAGTTATATAATGTAAATTGTTTAAATATAAATTTTTATACAGCTTTTGAATAAAGATCTGTGCAATAAATAACAGACAAATAATAAACTGCTAACCTTAGGGTTGCTCCGCCGTTGCCCGATGCCTTTCCCGGGCTTCTCCTTCTCTCAGGTCCCTTTATTGCTCCTTCATGGCACTTACAAAACACTCGCTCGCGAAAACGAAGTTAATTAGCTTTACGCGATGTTTTAAATTGTCGACGCGTGTTAATCGCTCGCGGTACTGTAGTCGTGCCAGTCGTGCAGCGATCTTAGGTTAGGTCTGTTCTACAATTCGTCGTAGTCGGAACGCAGTCGGTGGTTCAACGAGAGAATTATTTTCGAAAACGACTTCACTTCATATTGGACCATCGACTGCGTTCCGATATACGACAACGGTAAGTATACTAAGTATAAATATAAATTAGAACAGGCCTTACCTTAATACCTCGACGCGCGTTTGCTAGAGCGACGGCCTTTGCGTAAATAACTTGATGAACTGACACGAGGTCGACAGCTATCAACCCGACACGCTTGCGAATCGTCAATCAAATCTGATTAATCACTGATTAATCGCGCGAGATGACGATCAACCGAAAGATAATGCAACGAAATACCTCGAGCAGCACGCACGATCTACCTGCTCGTTCGATGTTCGGCGCACGAATAATAGCGCGGCAACTTTACGAAAACACTTCGGCGCGCGGCGCGCGGCGGTTTTTTTGTAAACAGGTACGTCGCGCAGTACGATGTGACAACAAAGGTACCGTATTAATCAAATTATCGTCACGAAATAATAGCGAATTCGGTTGGACGCACCAGTGCGCACTCAGTGCACATTAAAGCCGTTGTACACGAATCAACGTAAAATGTATGTCTAATATAAACGGGTTAAGTAACGAAATCCTCAATCATCTTTATTGTACTATTTGGTAAAATATGTATTGGGCATTTATCAGTCAAAATATTTGCATTTTACTTTAAATATTAGAAATTAAATTAGTGTACAACGGCTTTAATGTGCACTGAGTGCGCACTGGTGCGTCCAACCGAATTCGCTATAAGTAATACTTTCTAAAATTTATGCACGCCAAATATTCCTTTTTTCGACGAATAATTTATTACGCATTTTACGTTTTATATTGTAGATTTTTTCGTATCGCATAAGGTAATAATTAAGTTGCTTGATTAAGGATTTTTATTTAAAAAAAGTCAAATAATTTTTCTGTAACAATCAAAATTTGCCATTGATAATAATATTGTTAATATCAATTGATTTGCATATTATAAATTATATATGTATATAAGATATATATAAGGCTTTTAGTACTTATATAATTTCAGCGTGTTTTATATACAAATCTGTATATAAATATTAAAAGCCTAAGTAGAGAAAGATTATTTTTTAAAGTAAATTTAAATTAAAGTAATATTTAAATTAAAAAACTTAAACTCTGAGAAATTTAAATAAAGATTTATCGGTGCTGACAAAACTCTTTTTTAAATTACATAACTTATATTAAATTTTACTTGAAAATTTTAATATAATGTATAGTCTCGCGTTAACAGAGATATTGTATATTGAAAATTAAAATATTATAAAAGAAAATAATAACAGAGCAAATCTTTTTTTTTTTCGAATCTTAAGAGAATCGACTTCGAATGCAATAAATTATTTTTGACAATATATGCGGCATGAATATTGAATTATGCGTATAATAATATAAACTAATTAAAGATTACACACACACACACACACACACACACACACACACACACACACACACATATGCGCGCGCGCACACATGTATATATGTATATTATAATAATTAATATTGATATCAACATAAGACGAGAATCAGATTACATCTGACGCTAAAAATACAATGATAAAAACGGTTTTTCTTTCGTTAAGTATATCCCGTAAATAATTAGGTATCTATTTTCAAAAAGACATATTTATCAAATCTACTTTATCGTCTTTAATACTTTTCTGAAATGTTGTTCCTGCCACTTTACATCAAAATTTCATTATCTTATGTATCTTCTGCGAAACAGAATCAATTGAGCTAATCTATACACGGTTTTTTTTCACTCCGTTTAAGAATTATAAAGTGAAGAGAACGAGGTGGCAATGCAGCGAGCTAATTCGTTTCCACGAAGGAAATTATGTGGCTTTGCATGCAGGTGCAACAAGCCCGCCGATTACTTCCAACCAATGTAGTTCCAACGTTTTTCCACATCACAATACCCTCGGATCCGGTGATTTTAACGCTCACGACATCCGTGTTGCCTCTTTACACGATTAATGAACTAATTTGCACGCGTCGTTAATGGCAATTAGAATATTGATGTTTCGCGAAGAAGAGAACAACATGTGATTCCATTAACGAGAATCAAAAAATGATATGGATTTCAACTTGTTTTTGAATGAGCTAGAGTGCACGGTAAATTCACTAAAGCTGATCTTTCCATACATGCGGTTTATTTTAATTATGATTTCATTAATTGTTATTATACAGCATTGTTACTGTATCAATAATGCATATAACAAAATTGCTAATAAGTCATTTATCCATTCAAAATCTCAATCAAATTAAAAAATGTGATAAAGATAATGATGGTTTTACGGACGGGAACTATAGATAGAGATAAGAGAAATATGAGCTCATTAAGCGTTGCGTCATAAATTTCTGACTAACTGGAAAACTATCGTAATTAAAAACTGCGTGCGTGCCCGTTAATGACTTTACGACGGAAACGGAGAGTCGACTGTCGTTTGGCAAATGCCGAGTGATATATTGCTTCCATCTTTCGCGCTCTTCACAGTACTCGCTGCAAGTTTTAAAGCAGCACATCCAAACCTGCTTACTATTCTAAATTCAACTTCAATAAAAACAGTTTAAAATTATAAAAATAAGATTTTGTTTCTTACATATACATATATACGTTCTATATGTTCTATGTATGGAAATCTAATTTACTTAAAAATGTTTTAATTTTTAATATTAAATATAGTTTTAACTAATTTTATTATATATACTTATATATATGTATGTATACATATATCTCTTTTTCTCAGTTTCTTTTTTTACAAAAGAAATTACTATTAATTTTTATATTAATTTCTGATTAGGGAATCTCATCAAATTTTATCGATACAGAAAGTTATTTTCTATACTTCCTTGATTTTTCTTCGGTAAATAAAGCATTAAAAAAATTTTATATTACGTAGAAAAGTGACAACCCGATAAACTGTCTACGCTTGGATAGATCGCAACTTTAGATACGCTCTTGGATACATCGCGGCCGACCTCGAAAGTTTAGCAGACTCTGGCGCCTGGCGTTAACTCGGCGGAGTTACGATACTTATAGACTAGAGAGGCTCGTATCTCGGGGTTTAATGGGATCGGGACAAAGTGGCCGCGGAAATTCCGCGGCAAAATAAAACGAGATAGAGATGCGGAGCGGCGCGAGGCGCGCAACTTTTAAAATTACGGTGGGAAAATGTAATTTACCGTCGATGCGCGACCCGCGCGCGACAATTCCCCTGCTTTGTTCCCTACGAGTTAATTACATGCAAACAATTAATTAACCGCGCGTCCATCGGCGTACCGTTTGTCTTCGCGAATACTCCATCCGAGCTGCCCTTCGTTCCTTCGGATTATTTATCGCTGGTGATGCAACTAATTTCCGCGACGAGTTACTTTAACTAACTTGAATGCAACTAATTTTCTCTCTCTTGCATGGATTTTAAAACGGAAATCTACACAGGATAACGGGATTAAACTAATAAAGATAGCTTAGCAGACATATTTGAGATAATCAAAATGAAAATTTTGTGTGCAGTATCAAAGTAGTCGTATAACACAGATAGCAAAAATCTCCTGCATGTCGGAATTGATGCCAACAAATTTCTTTTAAAATTATAAATGATACCATTTTTATTCATTATGACGCTACCTTTTAATGCCATATGGTCCTGTCATACGTTATGTTCATAATAAAATAAATTTGTTCTATAATCATCCAATTTTTCAATTCTCTCTCATGAAAAAATGATTTTTTAATATAATTTTGCTGCAATAGCATAAAATAAAATTTCTCCGTTTATATTTGTTTAAAAACGTGTAAACTTTTATGTTAAATAAATACGTAATAATATCACAAAGTAACGATATTGTTATATTATGGATTGATACACGGAAAATGTATCAAAGAAGATAAATATATAGCTCATTTTATCAAGTCTTTCAATTAAATCTTCCATCACGCATCTCGCCATTTTAAAGCAAACATTTGTGTCATTTTATTGCAAATTTAGTTTTTCCATTCAAATGCATCTGGTTTCACTTTACCTCTACAATATTACGATGTAACGAGGATACAGAACTGCAAAATTAAAAAAAAAACAGATAAATATAAAACTGTTAGCTTTTGCTCACCGATTCTCCATTTTGCACTGGCCTTCTTGAATCTTGCAGTTGGTTTTGAAATCCTTGAAGATCTGACTGCAAGGTTTCCCACGTAGACAGAGATTAAGCGCATGGTTGCACGTCGGTAATGCGTCTATCGGATATGGATCTTTGTCTGCAAAGATATCAAAGAAAATAATTTAGTAATTTTTTCAAAGAGTTCCTTGAAAATTAAGAAAACAAATAAGGTAAACATTTTTTCACAAAAAGTATTCTTTTCAAAGGTAATGAAAATTTATGGCAAAAACATTTTCATAAGCATACAATTCTGTGTATAAATTCTGAAAATTTATGTTTTTTTTTAAGCTCCTCCAGACTTTCTTTAAATTTCTTTCGCTACTTTGTCTTTCTGTTTACGAGTCGTGCATTGTTTATAAAAGTATTTGCGAAGTCAAAATAGCTTATCGATCCATTACGAAACATCTGTTCGTAATAGATATTATCAATATATATTTTTACGTCCTGAAAATAGTAGTCTTTGTACCTTTTCCTCCTTAACTCATTATTTATCGAAGAAGTAAAGAAAGATCTTGTTGACCAGCCACTTTCTTAGTCTCCCCTCTTCTTTCACACACACACACACACACACACACACACACACACACACACACACAC